GGGGGGGGGGGGGGGGGGGGGGGGGGGGGGGGGGGGGGGGGGGGGGGCGGGGGGGGGGGGGTGGGGGGGGGGGGGGGGGGGGGGGGGGGGGGGGGTCGTGTCGGTGAAATACGGTAATATTAGGCGGGATATTTTTTTGATAAAAGTAATTATCGCTTACAAGTTTTATCCATTTTCAAAATTTAGAGGCTCTTTTGACTTTAACGCAACTTGAATCTGTTTTCTGTATTAATAAATTTATTAACTACAATGGTTTTCTATTAATTACGGAAAGCAATTACCTACAATTAAATTTATTTCAGCAAGGCTTCAATAGAAAAAAGTTGCTCAAAACGAAAATCCCTATTTTCTGTGCTAGTTTCGGTTACTCGAATCCCTAGATATAACAAAGATGTCTGCACAGTTATGTACATGAAAACTCGATAAGTCGGCTCTCGATTGTTCAATTTGACCTAAGAAGCCAAAACTTTTCAACCCCTTTTTCTCAATAATAATAATCTCTAGATAAGTTGGTTCTCTTGACAAGTCGATGCTCTCGACAAGTTGGTCCATTATGCACGACCGATTATCGATTTTGCATGTACATCGTGTTTCACTGTTGTTTTACCCTATTTTTCGACCACACATATCGGTTGTTCTCAATGTCTTGTTATCCTCACAGAGCAGCCTCAGTTTTAAATATATTATGCGGTACGTCTACGACAGAAATCTGCAATACCCTATTATCCAACATCTTTCACAAAATTCGTTTCTCGCGATGAAATTTCATCAAATCTTATCACACAAATCAAAAGCACGTAACTTCTCTTTCGAATCTACCCAACTATGGCAACCAGATCAAACGCCGTTCCGTTAAAAGCGGATTCAAGAAGACCTCAACTTTATTGGATCTTATTTTCCGGATAGTCGCTTTTTCCACCCTCTTTCCACTTACGATAGCATCCGTTATAGACGACTCTTATATATCTACTGTGGATGTATTTGATGCACTTTTAAATACACTTTTCCCAATTACTCTCGTTGGTTTGCTCAAAGCTTCCGGAGAATGCAAGTCTGACAATTTGGAGAAGGAGTCTGGGTCCGTTAAACATATGTTATTGCCACTACTGGATGATATATTATACAATACAGTAACTTGGCTAATTCCACTGCTAGTTGCTCTCTTGTCTACGATGATATAGTGATTGTAAAACTTTTTGCGTTGGCAAACATGGTTTTCCATGTCCTGTGCGCCATTGTTGCACTAATTCCACCTAAAACACTCGGTGAACTTTTCCTTAATAAGGAAGACATTGAAGATAGTAATAAAGCTACGGCTATTACTTTCTTATTGACATTTTTTCCTGGTGTAGCCATTCCGATATTTTGGATTACACATATTATTATGCATTTTGTAAGCAGCAATAGTATTGATTCAATTTATATAACATTTTTTATATTATATGCGATACTGTCAATTCCAATAATTGTTATAGTATTGCATAGTTTAAACGATACTGATGCTTCTGGTTATAATTGTTGCTATTGCTGCTGCTTTTGTTGTTTATTTCCACTTGGTTATCTTGTTTTTGAGGTATTTGACATTGTTGTTACAATTTGGTTTTATGCTCCAAATTTTTTACAAACAGTATTGATTCTTCTAAAATGGCCAGTCAATTCTTATTTTGTCAAAGCGTGTGTATTTATACTTGTTCTATCTATAACTAGAAATGTAACATACTTTACTGAGGAAGTACCTCATAACTTTTTGGCCACTTCAACATCAATAGCTCAAACATTTATAATAAATTTCATACGAAAGAAAAAAAATAGAAGGAAGAAAGCGTAAAGAATTAGCATACCCAGATTTAGAAAATCCAGGTATTTAGTATATTTAGGTTAGTATATTATAGAAATTAATATTAATATACAATAAACTTTATTTGCAAATTTAATACCATATACATGATTTGAGTTAATTCTTGCTTTAATTTTAATCACAAATTTTGAATTGCTCCCAATTTGATGTAATATAATATTATGGGTCAAGTACAAATCTCGAGCTATTGTGGCGCGCTGACTAAAGTATTCTAGTATTTTGTATTTTACTCCGTTGGATACTTTGGTACACTCATGATAACCCCAAAGCGTTTATGTAAAAATCTATAAATGAAGATAATACAATTCGCGTCTCTTTCTTGCTAGAATATGACGCACATTTTGCTATCCGGTTCAATGTAGTAATGTAGTACCAATCGCGAGCACATCTTTATGCAGTTGTATAGTAGCAAAATGTTGGGAATAATAAGACATATCACTTAGTATTATGCTCACATAGATAATCATGTTAAGTGTAGGTATGTGTCAATAATAATAATTTGGTGGATGAAACAGTGTGCGCGATTGTCCATAAATGTATAATATAGATCTCATAGCAATGAACCATCTAAAATCTACTCCTCCATGCGAACAAAAAAAAAAATCACGATTGTCTAGTCTTACTTTGAAGCTACAAAAGTTGAGAACAGGATTAAACATCGTTCTGTTAAAAGAAGATTCAGGGACATTTGCTTTCTCGATGCGACAGCATCCATTGTAGATACTAATCGACATTGGATGTGTCTGATGCACTTCTTAGCACACTCTTCCCAATTATCTTTGTTCTTCTGTTCAAAGCTTCAAGAAAGCCCAAATCTGGAGACTCGGCGGAAACCCAATATCTTAAAAATAAACTACTACCATTACTGGACGACTTGTTGTATAATGCCGTAACTTGGATGATTCCATTGGTAGTTACTTTTCGCCTATGATGACTTGCTAGCCTTTTCAATTGTGAACATGTAATAATTGCATTATTTAAACTCAAAACATTGGGCAAACTGTTCATTGATAATGAAGACGCAGAAGATAGCAATAGAGTTATTGGTGTTGCTTTTTTCTTAACGATATTTCCAAGTATAGCTATTCCCACATTCTAAATTGCATACACTACCCTACCATAAATCACCGGATTTTTTGTCACGTGGATCAAATGATAATTTTACACAAGGGGGTTTTT